TTTTTTTTTTCTACACAGCAGGCTTACTGTTAAAATTAAAACATGGACCAATGTTTGAGTGATTATCCCTTTAAAAATGTAATAATAATAATGATTATAGTACATTATACTGAAATATATTTGCCACAATTTCTTCAAGTTAAGCCAAACTTTTATTTTGACGGTTTGCTGTGAAAACCTTAGTTTCTGTGTGTATATGATATATGACTATAGTTTTTTTTCTCAAATGAAATGCTGGTGACGTGACTCAGAGCAGCTCTGGAGATGAAGTTGATGTGAAAACACTGCGAGCGTCACATGTACTTCAGTATGTGTGCTAAATACTTTCCTTTTCAGCCAATGCACATTTGCCTAAAGCTCTTCAAAATATGAAACATTTCCTTATGCAAAAGCAGGGTGAACTCGAGGCGTCTGGAGCCGCTCCTCCTCAAACGTCCGCTTCTGTATCTGTGCAGGAATGAGGATGTTGTTTTTGCTGCTGTTCAAAGCGGCTTCAGGCTCTTATGGTCAGTGGAGGAAGCGAGTTTCGCATGGTTTAAAAAAACCTGTAGAAACGGTTAGGAGGAACTCATGTACTTCCAAAACTATGTTCCAAAAATCAAGTGTGAAACATTTTATTTTAAATTAATGAATACTTTTATTCAAGGATGCATTGAATTGGTCTAAAGTGACAGTAAAGACATTTATAGTGTTACAAAAGATTTATATCTTTCCTATTCATCAAAGAGCTCTGAAAAACTAAATGTATCACGGTTTCCACAAAAATATTCAGCAGCACAACTGTTTTCAACATTGATGATAATCATAAATGTGTCTTCAGCATCAAATCAGCATATTATACTGATTTCTGAAGATCATGTGACTCTGAAGACTGGAGTAATGACGCTGAAAATTCAGCTGCGCATCACAGAAATTCAGTTGTTGTTGCTCTATCAGGCATCAGTCTTTGAGTGAGTGGATCGCCTGTGACTGGAGGTGTGTGAGTGTGTGTGTGTGTGTGTGTGAGAGAGAGTGTGTGAGAGAGCAGCGTCGCATTCGTTCACAGGGTTTTCAGGTGTTAATCCTCTCTGACCTGCAGCCGTCCGTCCTCTCCTCGTTCCCGTCAGTCGTGTTGCCAGTGTCTCGTGTGATCGCGAGGAGATCACAGAGGACAGATGAGAATATGTGGGACTTGTATCAGTGATGAATGTCATGAGTCCTATATCGCTGCCACAGGCCTTGATTTATTTCACCCTCTGAAAACCAGAGCGACAGGAGGAATAAAGTACAACCGACTACGTTCGCTAGATACTGTTGCTTCAGTGGACTTTACTTTTTCAATTCGTCATTTCAGTTTTGACATGTCAGCTAACATCATTTAAAAACATTTCAGTGTGTTTATATATATATATATATATATATATATATATATATATATATATCCTTAACTGAAGCTAAAAGAATAATATAATTTTTTTTTTTTAGTTATGGAGGAATAAAAATTTAAGATTAGATATCAAATTAATATAGCAGTATTCCATTATATTGTTTAAAATTTTATATAAAAATTATGTTTTACGTTAATTACTTATAATAATTCCAGTATATAACAGAAAAGCAATTATTCTTGTGTAATGTTGTCTTGTCTTGTTGGTTCTTGTAATATCGGCAGAAGATACTCTGAGAGAACATAAGCTTTATTTTTTATTTCTTTTGAAGCGTATGTCATTAATGAAACTGAACGTCCACAACGGCTCCAGGATAAATGAGTCTACATGAGCAGTCAAACGTTCAGACGCACATACTTGTGCTTTATTAGCTGTGTTTGCCAAGTCAAACATCACTGATCACTCTTCTATCACTCATGCAAGTGTTAAACAAACACCAGCACTAAGTGTTAACACTCTGTGTGCGAGCGTTTTTGTGACGTATCAGGAGACAAATTTGTATGACATAGGTATTACAAGGAGAAGGTGACTTATGAGGACATTACCCAATGTCCCCATTTTTCAAAACGCTTATAAATCATACAGAGTGAGTTTTTTTTGAGAAAGTAAAAATGCGTGAGGGGTAGGTTTAGGGGTAGGGCAATAGCACATACAGTTTGTACAGTATAAAACCCCTTACGCCTATGGAGAGTCCTCACTTTTTACAAAAACAAACCTGTGAGTGTGTGTGTGCAGTTACTTCACTAAGTGTTCGCACGATTTTCACCTGCTGGATGATTAGAAAAACTCTCATAGAGACACGAGGGCTTGTAAGGAACCACTTAGCAACACACTACAATTCAGTCTGAGCAACTTTGTAACCGCAAAACAGTAACTATGAAGGGCGGAGCTTAGAAGAGGGTCAGATCTCTTTCTAGTAAGTCTTTATTAGTGTCTGAATGTGTCATGAGGAAACACTAGAGCCGGTCGACTGTATTTTCAAAGCTGACAAAGCGTCCTTTGATAGGAAGCCGAGTGTGTTTTGATTGGTGAATCAGGTGAATGGGCTGCTCATCCTCTCTCTCTGTCTCTCTCTGTCTGTCAGTGTTCAGGAGGAGTGGCGTCATCATGGCCTCGATCTCGCAGTGGTACGCGGGGAAGAACGTGCTGATCACCGGAGCCACGGGCTTCATGGGGAAGGTGCTGGTGGAGAAACTGCTGCGCTCCTGTCCGGACGTCAAAGCCCTCTACATCCTCGTCCGGCCCAAGGCGGGTCAGTCCATGTCCGAGCGAGTCCAGGACATGATGAAGTGTAAGGTGAGACTCGCAACGTGTGTGTGTCTGTTTGCTTTCTGACATTTATTCACCAACTTTCTCATTACAACTTGGGGGGGGGGATTATAATAATTTTTTCTGATAAAAATAGCAAATTAATTAATTTCGGTATTTTAGTATCAATATGACTTTAAAAGTAGTAGTTCTCTATAAAATTACATCCTATTATCATTATTATTATTATCTTTTTATAATGATGATGATTATTTTGACTAAATAATGATGTTAAAGGGGTCATATGATGCTGCTAAAAAGAACTTTATTTGGTGTAATGAAATGTGTTTATGCGGTTTAAAGTAAAAAACACATTATTTTCCACATACTGTACATTATTGTTTCTCCTCTATGCCCCACCTTTTTGAAACGTGTCGATTCTTACAAAGCTCATCGGTCTGAAAAGCGAGGTGTGCTGTGATGTGCCAAGTATCCAGAGCGTTGTGATTGGCCGAATACCTCAAGCGTGTGACGGAAATGTTACGCCCCTCACCATACTGTGATGCTGTGTCCCGGCCGGAGCGACGAGACAAAAACATTCAAATCCATTATAAACGAGGCATTTGTTGCATCCAGTGGGGACATAATAACTGAATATAATGACTTATACTGTCTTTTTACACGTTGCATTACATCACGCTGCGTAAACATAAAACCCTGTCTGCATTTGTGATCAGAGAAATGAACAAAAAACACAGCGGCCTAGCGTGAGCTGAAGCCGGGCAAGAGTTGACTGAGGTGGCGGGGTCGAGAACGGCAGTCCCGGTGAAGGAGCGGTGAAAACGGTGAAAGACGATCCGGCGATCCACAGCACTAAGTTGAAGTATTTCCTCAGCGACCAGCACAGATCAGCTCTAGGCATGACGAAGCGATATCGTCCTCTTTTGGAAGACCAAACAAAGTAGTTTCGCTTTCACAACGAAACACACAGCGTCTTCACGACATGGCAGCGGCAACAATACTACAGCGAGAATAAAAGTTACGCCTTCTTTCTTTGCATGAACATTTGGGCGGCGTTATGCAAATCTTCCCACATAGTGATGTAGACATGTGGGGGCGTGTTAGAACGAGCCGTTTTAGGTAGGTGTGGCTGACTCTTAACTTTTATAAAGAATATCTCTTTGGATTTGAGACTTTAGTCTTTGCAACTTTACAGATCTTCTTTATGCACCAAGAGCTTGTAACACTCCAAAGAGAAAGGAAAACTTGAAATCGCATCGTATGACCCTTTAAACAAAATAAGATCTATGACTTTTGTTTTAAAATATATTATTATTATTATTATTATATTAAATATAATATTATTATTATTAGGATTGTTATTATTATTTCATTAGGATTATTAAAAATACTGAATAAAAATATTAAACAAAATAAGAATAAATTATAAAATTACTATGATTATAATTGTTGTTATATAATTTATTATTAATAATAATAGTAATGATAATTGTTTATTAATTTATTATTAATATTACTATTTATAATTATTATTAATATTAGGTTTATTAATATTACTAAAAATACTAACAAAATAAGAAATTACTGTTGTATTAAGAATTTATATAAATGACTGAAATAATAATAATATATAATAATAATAGTAGTAATAATAAAAATAACAATTATAATATAATATAATAAAATGAAACATTGTTAAATATAGTAAAATAATGTTAAATTATAATAAAATGAAAGATAATGAAAATAATATTAAATAATACAACTATAATAACCGTAACAATAATGTTGTTGTTGTTTTCATTATGATTGTTATTACTAAATAAAAATATCAAACAAAGTAAGAAACTATTATCTCTATATAAGAAACCTATATATCTTAGTGGCTAAAATAATAATAATAATAATTATTTTATTTTTTTAGCCATTGATGTATATTAAATAATATACCTATAATAATAATAATAGTAATAATAATGTTGTTGTTTTCATTATGATTTGTATTACTTATTAAAAATATTAAACAAAATATGAAATATTACTGTTGTATTATGAATAATAATAGTAGTAGTATTTTACAGTACTAATATTTTTGACTGTCTTAATGTCTTTATTTTCTTCATTCTCAAATATTAAACCATCAAACTTTTAATTTGGCAGAAAACCACAGGGAGCCTTAAAGCTTCTGTTTTGTTGATGACAGCCAGTTCATAAGCACTTCTTATTACAGCTTTGAAAAGATAGTTAATAAATTACATTTATTTAATTACATTTCATCCCCTTATCATTTCAGGTTTCGTTTCTATTAATCGTGCAGCTCTTCTTTGTCATCAGAAACATCAGACATTTGTGACCTAAACCTAAAACAATGTACTTTTCTTCTTTTCTCGCTTTTCAGACAAAAGCCCCATGCCACGTATTGTGTTTTTGTCATTGGATATCTCCGTCTTTGTGATCGGATGACATCTGATCGCATCCTAACTTTCAGTTAACCGCGTGGAATTTGTGTTGATCCTTAAATAGTTAGTTACGTCAGACCGAATGCATCTGTGTTTGCTCATACGCGGTCATCAGGGTTTATCGCTATTGTTTTCCCTGAACTGGATCCTCTGGAAACGCTGGGAGAAGTTCATGTGCTGCTTTCCCTCGGCCGGCATTGTAAAACGCTCTTTGATTGTTGCCATGGCAACCGCAGCACAAGCGCCATCCATATGAGTTCTCGTTCAGAAGTCGAGCTGTATTTCCATGCGCGGCTGATCTCCTGCCTCCAGCGCTGTGCTGAAGGTGTGGCTTCATTACTCCAGGCTGATGAAGCTGATGAAGCTGATGGAGTAAGGCTTTGCCACTGCTGCTTTCTTTCTGTGGTGATGAGTCACATCCGGAGTAATGGAGAGTGAGAGGACAGGAATGAACGTGTGTTTCCAAATGGCTGCAATATAACAAAGAGTGAAAAATTTAAGGGGGTCTGAATACTTTCCGTACCCACTGTATATATATATATAGCAGGTGATTTATATATATTAGATATAATAATTATCATAAATAAAATTATGTATTATTATTATTATTATTATTATTTAGCAGTTATATATATTAAAAATATGTACAAATAAAAAAGAACTAAATTAAATATATGATCATTATAATAAAAAATATTGTTATTATTATTATTATTATCATCATCATCAAATATATATTATGCCAGTTGGTATTCAACAAATATGTATTTGCTATTTTTTTTTATTATAGTGTTTTAGTTTTTTTAAACATTAGTTTTTATTTTCATATTTTTTCAGTATTTTTTTTTTTTTTTTTATTTTTTTTTTATTTGTTTGTTTGGTTGTTTTGTCTATAGAGTTTGTCTATTTAGTAAATTATGTGTATATAGTTTTAAAATTATTTTTTTTCTCTAGTTTTAGTCAATTTAGTATATTTAGTCAACCTAAATAAAAATGACAAATGTTGCCTTGGGAGCTTTTTTATAGTTTGTTTTCAGTTCACATTTATTTTATTTCTAGTAGTTAACGGTTTTACTTTTGTTTAAATGAGCAATATCACTCTCGTACGAGAGCGACACCGGCTCTATATCAGCGGCTGTGATTAGGCCAGAGGCACGAGGCCGCTGATATAGAGCCGGTATCGCTCGAGTACTCCAGTGATATTGTGTTTATACAACAGTTAGACGGAACATGTGTGTAATTAAACAAGAAACAACGGAGTGCCTAATAAAACCCTCTCTTGTGCGGAACTACTTCCTTCCGCCACGGATTCAAAGCTCAAGTTGAGAGTTAAACATGCGTCACTTTTAGAATCTGTATCAAGGGCATGTGCTGCTTCAGTTAGGTTATTAGTGAGAAATAATGAGGTTATAAGAGAGAAACAATGCGGCAAGACGTGCATCTGAATGAGCGAGAGAGAGACCGTGAAGCTAGATGTTTCTTCTGATATTAACTAACGTACTCTACGATTAGCTCAGCGAATAATAAAAAAAAAGACCCGGCTAGAACAAGTAGAGTGATACAAAATTGTGAAAGGGCGTTCCTGTAGCGATACCAGTACAATATCTCACGGTTCTCAACCAATCAGATTTGAAAACCAGGACGAACTGTTGTATAAATCATTATAGTTAATTTAATCTGAGCAATGTTCATAAAAGTGCATGTAAACCGAGTAATGTTGTATTGGTTGTGTTTGCTGAAGTTTCAGCAGTTTGATCTGGTCTGTGACGGACTGATGTGAGATCTGGACTCGAGCCAGAACGAAGCTCAACTCTTATGAGACGCAGATCAGCATTATGGGTCATCTGACCTCTCTGACCTCTGATAGAAACCTCATTAAACCGTGTGTGTGTGTGTGTGTGTGTGGTAGATGTAAGGAATGCTCAGACGCTCAAACAGGCAGATTGTGTGTGTGTTTGTGGAAAGAAAATCGGATGTGGGAAGCTATTCAGTCTCAAACAAATGTGTCTATTGTTTTGTCATTTAAACAGCCTTTCACCAAATTCTGTGCTCTCGTCTTTAAATAATTAAACAGATAATTATATAAACAGATAAATATATAAGTACACACAAACACACACACATATATATATATATATATATATATATATATATATAATCACTATTATTAATCTTATTATTATTAGATGATCAAATATATATATATACAGTGGGTACGGAAAGTATTCAGACCCCCTTAAATTTTTCACTCTTTGTTATATTGCAGCCATTTGCTAAAATCATTTAAGTTATTTTTTTTTCCTCATTAATGTACACACAGCACCCCATATTGACAGAAAAACACAGAATTGTTGACATTTTTGCAGATTTATTAAAAAAGAAAAACTGAAATATCACATGGTCCTAAGTATTCAGACCCTTTGCTGTGACACTCAAATATTTAACTCAGGTGCTGTCCATTTCTTCTGATCATCCTGGAGATGGTTCTACACCTTCATTTGAGTCAAGCTGTGTTTGATTATACTGATTGGACTTGATTAGAAAAGCCACACACCTGTCTATATAAGA